CTCCTTCTCTCTTCTAGTTCTAAGCCTTGCTCTCAGTGAATTAGTTCAGATCATCAGTGGTCCTGCTATTCCATAGCAACCCTTATATTTAATTTCCACAGAACTGCTTTCCCAAGGTGTTCAGGTGGGTAGAGAGGAGTTTGCATTACAGGTATAAGCCGGATAAAATTGAATACTAGAGGGAGCTGCTCTTTGAAAGTCCTGGACATTTCTGCTCCTGAGCTTCAACCTCCCATGGGTGTCAGTTGACATTCCTTTCTTTCTTTTTCTTTTTTTTCTTCCTCCTTTTTTAGGCCTGTCTCTCTCTTTTCTCTTTTATCTCTCTCTCAGGATATAAAATCAACCTTTTCCCATTTTAATTGATTTATTTTTAAATTTTCTTTTTAATGCAGAGCATTTAATAGCCAAATGAAGTTTGGTCTCTCCACTTGCATGTTCAAGAAAGTGGTCTAATTAGAAACGATCCCTTGTAAGATCCCTTCTGCCCAAATTTTTGGACAATGACCTCATCTCTGTCTGGAGGTGAGGACGGAGGTGGGGTAGGTGGAGTGTGTTCTGGGTACCATGTATAAAGGAAAGGGCAAAACCACCTGCTTTGTGCCAGATAGGGTTTGAGTCCTGTATTTTCCACTTCCTAGGACCTAGGGCAAAGTTACTTAATTTTCCTGAACCTGTTTCCTCATCTCTAAAATGGGGATAATACCACTTTTTTGCAAGTTATGGAAAGGATAAAACAGAATAACACTTCTAACACACCTGGCTAAATACAGGAACTTAACAAATGTTAGTTTTCTTTTCCTTTCAACTCATAAGCACTTTCCTTGAGGGTTACATATGTAAACATTAAATATTTATAAATTGCATAATTCAAGAAAAATGAAACTTGAAAAAGAAACTTACTTTGGATTTTTCGATGAAATGAACAATCATCTCCATTTGTCTTCCCTACAAATCTGTATTTTTATGTGCTGCTCTGGGTCTGCTATTGATATTTGTGTGCAGTTCTCAGCTCTGTGAGACTTAACCTAAACTCTCTACGCAGCTTCCTAGAAGTTGTAAATGTTAGGTATTGATGGTGTGATTTGAAGCAACTTAAGTGACTGAGGCCTAGAGCTGTCCTTGAGGAATTATTTCCAAGTGTGCCGATCAGAACTGAACAGATGATGAAGATATAAACACCGGTTAAGGCTTTGTGGTTTGGTCTGATGTTGCTTACGCAGTACAGGGAAAATGGATATTTTACCATATTTGACCAGCGGAAAGGACTCACCATCTGTCTCCCTTCTAAAGCAGAGCAGAACACAGCCCCGATGAGCACGTGATTGTTGTCAATTATGCTGATTTAAACCATTGGCAAAGACAATCTGTATATATCCCATGCAGCCGGATTTTAAATTCTGGGCTACCAGAGTTTATGTTAGAACAGTGGCTGGCTTCAGCCTTGTGTAATATTTCATGTTCTTAGAGGCAGGAAAAGATAGACTAATGACTTAAACAAAAGATATTTTTTTCTGTCATCCAGTCAGTTGTCTACGGGTCTGCCAAATCTAGCCAACAGTACATTTTTTTTTTTACAACTCCTGATCTAAGAATAGTTTTTGCATATTTAAAGAGTTTTTCAAAAAGAAAAGAAAAAATTTGCAACAGAGACCAGCTGTGGTCAGCCAAGGCTAACATATTTACTACCTGGTCCTTTATGGAAAAGGCTGCTGATCCTTGGTTTAGATAATTTGAAATATCTCAAATGAATGAAGGCAAAATGTAACAATGATTGACTTGTTCAGTTGTAATCTGATTTGTGACAACATTTTATGCCTGTTTTAACAAAGCCTAATGGGCATTACTTAGGATGATTTAATCACTTTTCAATATTTGTGTCTTGCTGTCTTTACATAGGGTTATTCCAAACTTGCCCAGAGAACGGAGTCTCTCTTCATTGTTTTAGAAGTAGATCATATGTCTGTCACCTCCTCTCTGAAGCCTCCACCTGGCACTTTCTCGCCACAGCTCACCTGTGTGAACAGCATGTGTTTAAGCTGCTATGATAGTACTTTTTACCTTCTCCTTGGCCTGAAAGAGGATGGCAGGGGCCAGCCAGCTCAGGAAGGGCTGCTGGGGAGTTTTACCCCTTATTCTGCTCATGATGAAGCTAGGGAGGATTTTTAGCAGTATATTTAACTGATGCCGAAGTATGATCCCAGGAAGGGGGCAATCGTGGGGCCGCAGTGCACACACTGAATCTCCTGAAAGAATCCCGGCCTGAATTTGACCCTGAAGGATGGGCACAGTTTGTGGGAGGGCTTAAGCAAAGGTACAGGCATATGAGGGAACATCTCATGGGGTGTCTTGCCCAGAGTGGAGACTCTTCTAGTGGTGTTAGATGAGAATGGGTCATCATTGTGGCCAATTTATTGGAAGTATAAGGTGTATGGAATTCCAAACCCAGTAGTCATCAAGGAGTCATTGTAGTTTATTTAAAAAAAGAGCAATGTGTCGGGGGTGGAGGGTGGGGTGGGGAGCTGGGGGAGTGAAATGACAATCATGAAATTGGTGACTATTTACTAAACCCTAACTGAGTGCTGGGACATTGGGCTAAGGGCGTTACAGGGACCATCTCATTTAGTCCGCACGACCACTTTGTAGGGGAAGGTATTGTCCCCAGTTTGCAAATGAGGAAACTAGGCATAGAGAGGCTAAAATAACTTGCCCAAGGTCCTGAAGTTAATAACAGGCAGAGCCAGGAGCCTGGGAACCCAAGCTCTTAACTCCTGTGCTCTTGAAACAAGCCCAATGCAAAACATTCTAACAAGACAGGAAAGAGAAGAGTGAAAAGCAGCAGCAATCCTGCCTTCCAGAAATGACCACTTTGGGGTGACCATCCTTCTGGACATCTTTCTGTGTAAATGTACAGCAACATGTGTTCATTTTGTATAACCCGGGCCGTCCTGTGCCTGCAACTTTTATCTAAATGGTACCATACTCTATATCCTAGTTTTGTTTTCCCTCATTTAAAACTAGTTTTCTAATTTTCATAAATGGGTGCATAGTATTCACTTTATGACTGTACCCTCATCCACTTAACCAGTCCTTCTAAATCATTGCTGGTTCTTGAGTAGGAGAATAATTTCTTGGAAGCTTTTTTCCCAAACATTAAATATTTATAAATTGCATAATTCAAGAAAAAAATCCACTTAACCAGTCCTTCTAAATCATTGCTGGTTCTTGAGTAGGAGAATAATTTCTTGGAAGCTTTTTTCCCCCCTAAAATTTTTAACCGAGTCTTGTGCTTTTTCCTTTTCTTTGCAGCATGCCCTTGATGCTGACAATGCAGGGGTCAGTCCCATAGGAAACTCTTCCAACAACAGCAGTCACTGGGACCTTGGAAGTGCCTTTTTCTTTGCTGGAACTGTCATCACCACCATAGGTATCCATTTGTTTGCTAATATATTTTCTGCTGTAGGCCATCCTGAGTAATGGCATTTATTCAGTGTTGTATCCTCATAGACTACAGGGTAGTTTGAGGTTCAAAAGAGGCTTATGAAGCACGGTTGAATTAAGGCAGTAATTGTGGTGGCTTTCAATAAAAGGCCAAGCAGAAAGAAGAATCCTTTTATCAGAATGAAAGGCTGGGGAGCGTTTAGTTTGAAAGAACCTAATGAAAAGTTTAGAGTAGAAAATGTGAATTGGTCAGTTGTACTCAGATTGCTTATTTGAACTCAAATTCCTTTTTAAAGATTGTACTTCTTATTAAAAATATATATGAAAGACTCGAATACTCTGTAAAGTTTGTTGTGAAAAACAGCAGTCTTTACCCCTCTCCCCTTTTTTCATTTTCTTAGAGACAACCACTTTCATCTGTTTCCATTGATGATTTTAATATTCATCTCCTTGTCTTTAAATATCATGCTTGTGTGGCTACTTCTGGAATTTTCAGTTTTGGTAATTATTTCTTGGCTTCCCATTGTGGAAGATAAGGAATTAGTTCTCTTTCTTCCTCCCCACCCACTGCAGAAGGGCTCTCTTCCTGTCCTCCTATCTTCCCAATATGGCTTTATTAGATAAAAATTGAACATTTGCATTATTTGTGACTAGGTAAATGGTCCTTGCAGCTGATCCCGTGGTGAACTATGATTACTTTTCTCCTGCACCAATTTTTGTTTTATTTTATTTGTGTATCTATCTATCTATCTATCTATCTATCTATCTATCTATCTATCTATCTATCTATTTTTCTGCACCAATTTTTGTTTTATTTTATTTGTGTATCTATCTATCTATCTATCTATCTATCTATCTATCTATTTATTTATTTATTTATACTTGGGGAGTTTTGTATTTTTGTCTTGGGATTAACTTTATAATTGTAATAGTATATAATAACCTTAGTGTTCTATTTGTTAACTAGTATGTATCAGATCCCTATTATGGGTGATGACATCTCTCTCTCTTCCATCACACAATTTTAGTTGACACCATCTTTTTAATGTTTATTCTTCAATGACTAAATATGCTTATGCTTCTCTTCTATGATTTGCCAGCTTTAAATGGTAGATCTTGGCTCTCAGCGATTACATATAATGCGGTCAGTGAACTTATTCAGCATCTCAACCTCCTTCCCTCTTCCCCTATCAGCTGTTACTCATTGTATCATTCTGTAAGTTACATCAGGTGTATAATTTGCATTCTGTCCTGTTACCCTGATGCTCTCATTTGTTTTAGTGATGGCTCTGCAGTTAAATACGGTCATTGTTCGTCTCAAGTCCTTTTTCTGTGGTTTTCCTCATTATCACTTGCTTGGCTGAAAGTCATTTTCAAGTAGTTGCCTTAAGAGTGGCTCAGGGGAGCGATATTCCCTGAGGTCGTGCACTGTGCAAAACGATAGCTTTACACTTGAAGCAGAGTTTGGCTGGAAATCTGTTTCACTGACTCACGTTTCTCTGTAATGGGTCCTGTAGCTCTTCTCTTCTGACGTTTCTGCTGCTGCAGAGAAACCTGATGCAATCTCAGGTTTTCCTCCTTTTATAAGTGACCGGATCTATTTGTTCAGATACTTAAAAGACTATTTCTTTACCTTTCATTTGATATTACTGCTTGGTTGTGTCCCTTTTGTTTCAGGAAAGTCTTTTTGATTGTCATTTCTGAACATATTCTCTGCCATGTGGTTTTGGTTTTGTTCTTTGGGGGATTCCGACCTGTTGATTTCTTACTTTTTAACTCCTACAATTTATTTTCATTTTGCTAGTCGTATCTTCTCTGTTTCTTCTTTGTGTGTGTGTTTTTCACTGTGCCTCTTCTGCCATGTGCTCCTCCCAATTTGATTTTCATTTTTGTGGTTCTTAGGGGATTTCTTTTCCATTCCTGTTTCTTTTCTGAATTTCATAGCTCACATTTCATCGTTGCTTGTTATCTCACCATCTCTTTCCTGATTTCTTGCATTTCTACTTTGTGGTTTCTTTGTGAAGATTCTCTGAGGTGATTACCTCATGGTTGGTTCCAATTTTTGTGTGGTTTGAACAACATTTTTCTGGTGAGTGTTTTTCATTCATTGGTAACTTTTTGCTACCCTTTTCACATTTCTTTCCTTATGGAAGCTTCATATTTATGCTGGGCCTTTAAAAATACTTAATATCAGTGTATATTAAAGAAGACAGAAAAAGGAAACTTCTAATTTTCTTGTTTAATGACATGGCTAAATTAGCGGTCTGCCTGATGCATTGAAAACACTACAGCTGCCTTGGACTGCACACTAATGTTATTCATTGTGTTGACTTGTTAGGAAACCGGGGATTTGGTTTATTGAACAACTGTCTTCATTGACCCACATGATTTTATGTGGTTGAGAAATAGTGGATCCATCTGCCTAATGAGAAACATTGATATGTAGCATTTTTCTGCCCTTTTTTATGTGCATACATTGGAATCTTTAGTTTGTGCAAATCACTTAGTCCTTGGTTTCTGCTGCCTGGCATCCATTTCATTTATTCACCCTTGTCCTGATAACCATATCCCCAATGGTCCCCTTCCCTTTTCTTGGCCCCCAGCCCTCAGGGGAAGAATCACCATATCTAGACTAAGAAATCCAGTGCCTGGCCACAGTCACTTGTTCAGAGGTGGCCATATATCTGGATTAGGCCAATAAGAAACTCCTGGACTTTTGCTTGAACTTTGGATGAAGTGATTCCTCTCTTTCTTCCTGGAGGGTAAATTTGGAAAGAGATAGGCCCAGGGCAGTGTCAGTCATTTTCTTCTTTTGATGGGCTGCTCTGCCTAGAATTCAGCTAACATTAAAGAAGCAGGGTAAGAAAAAGTGGGTGGGAAATGGGTCCTGCTCATATCCTTTGAGCGCGGGTTAGAGCTACCCCTGAAGTGTTGAGAAATAAAAATTAAATCTCCTGTTCACTGGAGTCAATGTATTTCCTTTTTTTGCTTAAGCCAGTCTATGTTGGGTTTTCTATTACCTGCAACTGACAAAATCCTAACAAATACACACTATGGGTCAGAGCTCATGGAGGGCCAGTAAGTATCCTCTCACCTCTGCTGGCCACCACAGCTGTCACCTCCTACCATCTTTGGGCCACGTCTTGGGCAGCACCATCCTACTGGGTGAACCTCTAGGTTCATGTGCTCATGTCTTGGCTACCTGGGAGGCTGTTGCCTCATGCCAACTATGCACAGGATAGGGACCTTTTCCAAAAATCAGAAGGAAGATGGATGTGAACAGGAAACTACTATGAAACAAGCATGCAAACAAAAACAAACGAAAATAAACTCCAACCTAAAAAAGTCCATGGTGCGGTGTTAGCACTAGACATTGGGTGCTTGTTCTATCCAGTTTAGAAAATGCTATTTTATCTCTCACTTTCTTTGAGAAATAATGTATTGTAAATTTAAGACCACTTAGCTGGCTAAATTTAACTCCAGAGTGGAGGGTCTTTATGGAGTCATACATTTAGAGAATTCCAAAGAAAACCTCAATACAATGTTAAGTAAGAATAATGAGGTACAGAATTAGTTTTTCTAATTACTTAGTGGTAAATTCATTTATTGTGTGTGGTATCAAGGCTTATAACGAAAATAAACTCCAACCTAAAAAAGTCCATGGTGCGGTGTTAGCACTAGAGATTGGGTGCTTGTTCTATCCAGTTTAGAAAATGCTATTTTATCTCTCACTTTCTTTTAGTTGAGAAATAATGTATTGTAAATTTAAGACCACTTAGCTGGCTAAATTTAACTCCAGAGTGNTTGAGAAATAATGTATTGTAAATTTAAGACCACTTAGCTGGCTAAATTTAACTCCAGAGTGGAGGGTCTTTATGGAGTCATACATTTAGAGAATTCCAAAGAAAACCTCAATACAATGTTAAGTAAGAATAATGAGGTACAGAATTAGTTTTTCTAATTACTTAGTGGTAAATTCATTTATTGTGTGTGGTATCAAGGCTTATAAGAAAACTCAGAGCTCAATAATTCTTCCAGGTCTTCCTGAGAAATTCTTCCTTCCCACTATGTAGGAGTCAGGAAAATAGAGCAGCTAGAGCTGAGGAGCTGTGTTTTCATTAATTATGAAATACACAAACATTAGCCTGCTTGCTTGAGTTCGTATAACTTGTGACATAGTATTGTACATATTTCTCATATTATTAGTAATATTAGAACGTTAGAGTTCTTCGAGAAACATAACCTTTGATGATTTCCCATGGATCCACTATCAACATCATTATCACATGTGTTGGGGGCTTAAGCTGTTCTACTTTTGTAATAGTGTTAACATCATGATGAAAATCTTTGTGCATGAAGTGGAGTCTTTATCTGTGGTTATTTCCTTGGAAAAATTCCCAAGGGATTGCTCTGTCAAAGGATATGGACCTTTTAAAAGCTCACCGAATTTCTTTCTGGAAAGACTCTCATGAGCAGCCTGAGGTTATGTACTTTTCATTATGTGCTCATTATTTAGAATGTGTATAGAGACAGCTTAGAAATAATAGTCTTTTTTGAAAAGCAATGACACTACTCAGTGTCAGAGGTCCCTTTCATCTGAGGCTATCAAAGCACTTCCTTTTAAAAAAGATTTTCTCGTGCTGAGATGTACGGAAAGATTTACACAGGTATAGCAAAGAAAATACATTCAGGCACTTTTGCAAACCAGTAGCCACACCAAAAGGAAGTCCAGGTTCTGCTCAATCATCTTTGTTGAGGGCCCCCCGCACCCTGTCTCCTTTCTCAGAACTAATTCTGATGTGAGAAAGTCACACTTGTCTTTGATTATTGACTTTGCTGGTGGGCCCCCAGCAACTAGCTTTTGTAAGCTGGAGGAATGATGCTCACTCCTGCGTGCAGATGCTTTTCCACAAACCATCATTTGCAGAAGGGCAGCAAAGGATCCCGTTCTTATCAACACCAATGAAATGCAATTAGATTTTAGTCTTTGAGGCATTTTCAGACTGAGTCACCTGGCTCTACCCACATCAGAGAGAGCGCCCTTGGTCAGGTCCCAAATTGTAGCCAGTGACTGTATCATTAGCCTGGGTTCCTCAATTAAGGGCTGAACCTGCCAAGGTACAGAGGCAGCTGTTTGTACTTACCCAGCACTTGGATTGGATGTTTAACCCAAGGCTTTGGAAACAGCAATCACTGTGGCTAACATTTACTGAGTGCTTACTAGGTACCAGGCACTGTGCTCTACATATAATATTGTAATTAATCCTGCAATAACCACATGAAGTAGGTACTGGAACCAGCTACATAACTTGTGGGCCCCAGTACAAAACGATAATGCAGTCCCTTGTTGAAAAATGATTAAGAACATCAAAATGGCAACAGCGGAGCATGAAACTAAGCATGGGGCCCTTCTTCGTGTGGGGTTCTGTGCCCCTGCCCAGGTTGCACATCCCAGAATCAGCCCTGCATGCACAAACAAGCTGGTTCTAGAATGCACACCACACTCTTAACCAAACAAGCAGGGCTGAACAACACACAGTGTGGAAAAGATTTGACTTTGGCACGTAAATAGCAAATGGAAGCTTATAGGTGTGCTCCTTGGATGTAAGTCCTCTTTAAATGCCAGCTTTCTCTCCATAAAGGACTTGGACCTGCTTTCCAGCCAGGGGTGAACAGAGCTGAGCCCTTTGTCCTGCTCATTAATAACAGGTTTCTGTGTTTGTCCCTGCTGGGCTGGTCATCTTCTGCTGAAAGTCACCCGAAGCCAGTGGATGGAGATGCTTCTTGGACTCCTTTCGCTGCACTGAAATCCCGTTCTAGTGTTGTAGGCTAGTGCTACCAAACAGTGGCTGCCCTGAGAGATACCCACACCTCACATCCAGCGTGGGCCCTCCCAAGTCGTTGAGCCAACCCAGTTCGAGGTACAGACATTTTGTCCCTTGTCCTGGTGCTGTGTGTAACAGTGGAGTTTCTGGATGGAAAATAGGAACCAACCATCTGTTTTCTCCTGGGACTTAGTATTCCTGGAGACGTACTGCTCAGAAGTGATTTCTTCCCACAGAAAAGCAAGGGCAAGATGATAATTGCTAATGCTTACTCAGTGCTGACTTTGCGTCATGCTTCACATGTAGTTAATCTTCAGTGTAACTCATGTTTCACATGGAATTCATTTAATCCTTAATAGCTATAAGGTGGATGATTTAATAGCTCCACCTTTCAGTTGAAGAAAGTGAGAAGAGGTTAAGTAATGTGTCCAAAATCTGAGAGTTAGTAAGTAGAAGAATCAGAACAGGAATTTTTGCAGTCTCTAGTAGAGCCTACATACAACCATCACACCTTACTTTAAAGTTCTGTGAAGCCTTCTGGAAGGATACGCAGAGCAGTCTAACAGGCCTCGTATATCCACGGCCCCAAATCCAGAAATGTGGCCCTCCCATTGCCTTAGAGAAAACTTTCAAAGCTTAAGTGCTGGAATTTTCCTAGAGTAACAGGGTTGAGGGTCAGACAGTTCACCAGAGGCAGAGAACACAAACACACATGTGTCCATGCACAGACTATAGCATTACTCAAGGATGGTGATTACTTTCTGTCCTTTAGGAAGTGAGTCAGCAAAGAAGGATGGCCTTAAATATATTCAAAGACTTATTTGAATATTCCATCATGAATGCCCTTACCGCCAAACTTTGCTTTAATTTTATTTTAGTGATCTGATCAGCAAAACACTGAACAAAGAGGCCATTGTAACAATAACGATGATGATGATGATGATGATGATACTTTGCATTGGTATAGTACTTTACAGTTCACTGATTTTTTTAAAAAAATATTTTCCTTGAATCCCTCCAACCCTAGAATTTGGAGAGGTTAAGTGGGTCTAACCAAGTAGTATGAGGTGGAATTGGATCTGGAGCCTCCAGTTCCTCATTTCTCTCTGATGTTCCTTGGATGACACCAGAGATGTTCTGTGAGCACAGTACCTTATCTGGGTGGGGTGGGGTGGGATCCTCTCTGAAAGCTGGAGGAAGGGCGTGCAGCCCTTGTCCAGACTAGTAAGATGCCTGTTCAGCAGGTACAAAGCCTCTTCATTTGCTTGTGCCTGCAATATGTTTCTTTTTGAGACACTCAGACTGAAAGAAAACCTATATTCCCTGAAATCAGGCAATTATGAGAGAGTTGAGTTAATCTTCAATGTTTCTACAAGGTACTAGAATGTTTCCAAGAGTCATCATTAACCTGCATAAAGTGAAGCTGTAGAGGTAGATTTATTTTGTCTTCAATGGGGCTATGTTAATGTAAATCAGATTGTTCTAGAGGGGAATATTTGGAAAAAATTTTTTATCCAGGTTCCTGAAAGCACCTGAGAAAGTTCCCAGAGTTCTTTTGCACATTTAAATCAAAATAGTGGTGAGTAACAGAAATACAAGATTAGGAAGGCTTGCCTGAATATTCTCGTAAGAAAGGGAAGCTGTAATTTAGATAATTCATGATAAGAGGTTTGAATGATTCTGAACAGAAAATTGAAAACAAAAATAGCCAAGTGATTCATCCCCAAAGGCAGAAATCAACACTGAGTTCTCCAGGCGCATGGGATGATGAACGATGGGCCAACCATCAACATATTCTTTGCTGTGCTACCTTCCTGACGTGCCCATAACCCTGGACCCAAAAACACCCCCATTGCATGCATTCAGAAACAGGCCCACATGAGTTACTTGAATTTGGGTGAATGGTTAGGTGACCATCTAGACATCACGTAGCATAAGATTGTCATACTAGCAGGCATGAACATGAATATGAGCTAACTTGAACTCTCATCTCTATATAAATTGTGCTGATGCTCTAAGCCTTTTTCTTCCAGCATTACTTTATATAGACTAGGCCCAATACTATACACAAGTTACTTATGTAATTGCAAAACTCTTAAGAATGTAGATGTTGGTGTTTTCAAAGCACTATGTAATTACATATTAATAGATCTGACTACAAAAGGGCTCCCTTGTATTCAAACGCCTGTTCCACCGACAAATATTTATTTCTCACCTGATTATCCTTGGTGCAAGAGGTAGGGGGTAAGACAGGAAGTACTCAGAGATGGTGTGGAGTTCCCAGGAAAGAGGAAAAGAGAGCCAGGCACTGCTAAACTTCACTGTCAGTGGGGGAAAGAGACACAAAGTCTTCCCTTTCCTGCTTTGTACTGTTTTCAGACTTCCCAATATAGGGCTATAGTCATGGGTCCCTTCTGAATTTGTACTAGACCACATTTCCTCTTCAATGTGGAGCACTCATCACCCACAAAGGCAAGTGTTGAAGACAGCCGTAGTCTGTCCAGGTGGAGGGGATGGCCACAGATAAGACTGCATAGGAGAAGCTCTTGGCAAATCTACAAAAGGCAATGGTGGATCCTTCCCAGATGTTCAGGGTTCCCTGAACGTACATGTCCATGATGTTTGGTATTTCTGAAAAGGAAAGTACCATTTTACATCAGAAATGTAATTCCGGGGTGCTGGCCAGTTAGCTCAGTTGGTTAGGGTGCAGTGTTAAAACACCAAGGTGCAGCTGCACAAAAAAAAAAAAAAAAAAAAAAAAAAAAAAAAAAGAAAAGAAAAATGCAATTTCAGTGACTGCAGACTTCCTAAAGTATATTAAGATCCAGGAAACCTTAAAACTGTTAACAAGGAGAGAAGCAAGAGAAACAGTGGAGCAATGTTCTGAATTGTACAGAGCCTTTAAAATAGAGTTCTACTCCCTAAGGCTCATGAAGTAGGAGGAATGTACAAACCTTTCTAAAAGTCTGTGGATCCTTTGGTCAATGCTCTAATCTCTCTGCCACTCTCCCTTTCTCTTTTTAATATTTCTCACCAGGGTATGGGAATATTGCTCCAAGCACTGAAGGAGGAAAAATCTTTTGTATTTTATATGCCATCTTTGGAATTCCACTCTTTGGTTTTTTATTGGCTGGAATTGGAGACCAACTTGGAACCATCTTTGGGAAGAGCATTACAAGAGTGGAGAAAGTCTTTCGAGTGAGTACTGCATCATATT